TGATAAGCTAGCTTATAGCTTATATGTAATTTTTGAGCTTATAGCTTATAGCTTATGACCTATAGCTGAAAAGCTAGCTTATATGATAAAAAGTGTTTGGTAAATTAGCTGATAAGCTATCTAAAATAAAAAATTCAACTAACTTATTTGAAAAGCTACCTAAAGTAGCTTATGAAATAAGCTCGAGCTTTTTAAAAAAGCTTGTCCTACCAAACGAGGCTTATTTTAAACAGGGAGCTTAAAGCTAACCAAATAAGCTAAAAGCTAGCTTATTTGGCTTACCAAACATACCCTAACTCGGATCCTTCGGGTGCATGTGACACATCACGAAGGTCAAAATTGACTTTTTCCCAAAGAAAATGAGGAGAATATTCCAATCACATTTGACATGTAACTTGATCAACGGTCGGTGATGGACTTGGTTTTGGTCCAACGATCAGCAACTAATTTAAGATGGGCGGCCGCCTAAATCAGGCGATACCTTCACGGATATACTCAACATGACGTACGTGTTACGTAATGTGGGAAGAGAATACATATGTGATTGGATTTCGTTGTAAATTAAAAAATGATTCAATTTGATTGATTCTTCTAAATATTGTTCCGGTGGATTTTAAATATATTTCACCAGAAGGTCAGTTATCATGATATGCTCGTTCGGACTAGGCTGCAAACGAATTGAGCGGCTCGCGAGCGCTCGAGTCAAAGTTCGACTCGAGCACGAACTCGACTCGAGCTCGAGCTCATATTTTATCTTGTCGAACGGCTCGTCGAGCGGCTCGAGATACACGTTAAATTACTAAAGTACCCCTTGTTATATATATATATATATATATATATATTAGCATAGGTGCTTAATGGTAATTTTTCACATTTTCTCTTAAAAATTTTTGAGTCGAGCTCAAGCCGAGCTCGAGCTATTGTAATTTTTTTATCTTATCGAGCTCGAGCCTAAAAAATCGAGCACGGTCAGCTAAAAAAAAAAAAAAACTCAATCCTGCTCGATAAAGTCAATGCTCGACTCGTTCGCAGTCCTAATTCTGACACTCAAGCTAGTTTACAAATACTAAAATTATAAGTTCTCTCTATATATGTGATGCACATATATATTCTTCTTCAATTTACACTTTGCGTGTTTGATCTGAAAAATCACTTTCATAACAATGTTGGTTTAGATGTTTCCTCAGAATGAAATTTGCATCAAACTATAGACTCCAAGGTGTGTTTCCTCACCAATTCATGCACAAAATATATCCAAAGAAGAGGAGAAACACGCTTTCTAAAGTCCAATTTTCATACCCAAAAATTAATTTACGTACTCACGAGTAAAATAATTCATTAACTTTCAGTTATTGAACTTTCCCTTAATTTTCCACAGTATTGCCATTTCAAGTACAGTTCGTCAAGTCCTTTAAAAGTCCACGAAAAGGGGGAAAGAAAAATAAAAATAATAAGTCCACAAAAATTGTGTATAAATCACTGTAGCCCTGGAAAATTCCATTCGTGAACATGAACTTTATCACCACACGATTTACACACACACACACACACGAGTGTGTGGTCGTGTGGTGATAAAGTTCCTGTAGGCACCACCAAGGGCAGGATCGAAATTTCCTTTGCACCCGAGTCTAACAGCACAAGTCAATGACTACTACTAGGGCTGCAAATGATCCGAGCCGAGTCTAACATTGGCCTTATCGAGCAGGATTGATTTTTTCTTTAGCTGCTTGAGTTCAGCTCGAAAATTTAAATGAAAAAATAAAATTACCATTAAGCACATATGCCAATATATATATATATATATATATACACACACACACAAGGGCATTTTAGTAATTTATATATATCTCGAGCCACTCGACAATGCAATATATGAGCTCGAACTCGATTCGAGTTCGTGCTTGATCTCGACTCGAGTTAGGTCAAACTCGAGCTCAGTCAAGCTTTGACTCAAGCTCTAGCGAGCCTATCTACTACATAATGTCTTAACCCTTAACATCTGTGAATAGTGTACAATTTCATTCAATTATTATTCAATGAAGAGAGTTGCATCTATCAGAGGTGAAGTCCACAGTAAACTTTTTTCTGATAAAACCTCATAAGGCCCCTCAATAGAATTTTATTTTCATAATCTACAAAATGAAATAAATTATGATGGGTGCTCGCTAAGAGTAGATTCCTCACATCACAAAATATTGTGCGGAAAAAAGAAAAAATTGCAGACATGGCATCGATTTCTCTAATCGACTCTCAAGGTTTCAATGAGTATTTTCCGGGCTCATTGTACGATTTTTCCAACTGCTCGACTTTGTTTATTTTGAAACCCCTGATTCTAACTTCTTCGGCCACCGAGGTATCTTTATAATCGACATTCTCAATGACCCATCCGGCATTTTGCACGAAACCACCCACTTTGACCTACCGAGAGATGTTGTCAGAAATCAGTAGACATAAATATAGTGAGCTAACCACATAACCATGCAAAGATTTTTTTTTTTTTTTTTTTTTCTCTCTATGACACAGCTTATTTAATAACTAAAACTATATTACAAAATTATTTGACTTTAACCTACTTGCCAAAAGCTCCAATTATTCTCCAAAATTAAAAATAACCCCCTTAAATTGTTGCAGAACACCCAGTGATCTTTGGTTTTACTTGAAAAATAAAGATAGGAACCTTTTGAATGTTCAATTTTTGGATACAAGCAAATTCCTGGGGGATGTTTTCAAATTTTAAAAAACAGCAGGGTTGTTATTATTATTATTATTATTATTATTATTATTATTATTATTATTATTATTATTATTATTATTATTATTATTATTATTATTATTAACCTTCAAGGATACCTTTTGTAATTAATTCCATAAATCTAATATCTGGTTATGGCCTAATAATAATACTTTTAAAAAATACCTCTGCACTATCTACAGCATCAATGATAAGAGCGCCATCTAACACGAGGTCTTCGAGGTAGATGCTTTGGCCCTTTAGTGCAAGGGTTGATTTTCCAGTGATCGAGCAATTTCTGGTGACTTTTCTTTTGACATCTGAAAATGTGAGACCCCAATAGGGTTTCCATACAATTCGAGGCCAAATTTCCACTTGTTGCCCGTTGAACACTTGTTGAGCTGGATCATCTACCTTAACACCAGCCTGTGACAAACGAGTAGAGGATCAACTGCAGAAGCCTAAAATACGTATTTGAAGCACGGTAGCTTTATTTTTTGGACCAGCTAAGATAAGTAACTGGTTCTAAAATATGTCAATAATTTCTCCCTTGCTTCTCTATACATAGAGAGGCTAATGAGAGATGGTTTACAAAATCACCAACTGATGCAAAATAGATATATGGAGCTGCTTTGAATTATATCAAAGCAGCTTCTCATTTTCTTTTCCATTTCTTTTTTTTTTCCCTTAATTTCAACTAGGAGCAACAGGGTTAGGGAAGTATGCCGATCAAAAGTGTCCTTCAAACAATCATAATTACCGAGTCCAGAAGTCAATATAAGAAATATTATAAAACCACAATGGTGTATTAAAGTGGCTGGTGGTGGAAAATCGAGTATGAGCATAAGTCAGTGAGAATTGTTAGTAGATGCAGAGCTTTAAAAGACGATATACTAAACACAACCACAAAGCTTCATATAAACTTCATCCGGATTTCAAGTAAAGTCAAATACCTTTCGCAAAATAAGGCTGTTTGCCCTATAGATGGCCATTTCTCCTGATGTAGCACTGTGATATGGATTACCTTTAGGTACCTAAAATAATTTCAATACAAGTACTGGGTGAGATCCAGAATCAACTTTCTGAACATGCATGCATGAAACACTGAAACAGAGACGAAGTCATTGATGAGACTAGCCAACAACAGTAGGTGATTGGATGCCAACAAATAAACTGCAATTGCCCAACAAAATAATGCGAATCTCTTCTTCTTCAAAAACAAAATTCAGAGAATGAAAAGAAAGCAAAAAGAGTGACTGAAGATGATGCTGACGAGATTGCATTAGCATATCTCGATAAATATGATCGGCTCCGAGCTTTAGTGTGATTATTATTAGTATTATTATATTTTATTATTATTTAGTTATGTTTATTTATGTGGTGTTTGGGCTTTTATTATGTAGTAGTGGATTTATTGTGTTGGGTTTCTAATTAATAGTGTTTAGGACTTTTATGTATTATTTAAAAGACAAGCAGGTATTTGTAAGGGCAGTTATTGTATTATTGAATCAGAAAATAAAAGAAAACAGTTTCTTCTTTGTTGTGTTCTCAGAACACAAGTTTCATATGCTTCCTGCTGCATCAGAAGATTTAACATTCACTATTTATATGATTACTAATAAGAGGATCTAGTTTGGCATGTTCAAATATCCCTAGGATTTATACATAACATAAACAAATAGTTCTTTTTTTTTTCTTTCTAATATAAATATTTCCATATAGAATAATTAAAATAATTAAGTATCACCGTAGTAAATAACTGGTTCTCATACCTTAGCTGCATCTTCAGGATTGTTTTTCACAGGTGCATAAGCAAACCAAGCATCCATCACCTGTAGGGTAACAATTGTCATGATACTAACACAGGAATACACAGCATTAGAAAAAAGGGATAAATATAATCAAGACATTGAAGAGAAGAAAACATGTATGCTTACAGTAAATCCAACTCTAGCAGAAGGTGACAGAGTTTTTGGGTAGTCTTGCATCATACATTCAAGCCGGGTAGATGATTTGAAGGCAGTTTTGGTAGAATCTTTGTATCTGAAGCAAACAAGAAAATAATTAGTGCCTAGTAACCAAGGATACAAACAACTGGGAGCCAAATAAGTAAAGTCAGCATTGATCATCATACAAACAATCTAGGAACAAAATTAAGATGATTTGAGAGAAAGAGAGCTTACTTGGGGTTAACAAACTCCTTTATGGCACCTCCAGTTTTTGAAAGTTCCTCCAGATAAGGGCCGATTTCAAAAATCAACTGAATAAAAGTGTGACAGTTAACCCTACAACACAGTTAACCCTAAAACACAGATATATGTATATACAAAACTTAGGAAACAATGAGAATCTCAGGACACTTAATACGTTGTATTAAGACTTGTGTCCTGGACCTGGTCGTCCATAACCTCATCAAACTTTACAGGCATTGGACTCCTGTAATGGCATTCAGCCCCAGATTGCTACTCACTAGAAGCATATAAATGGCTGCCACATAGCAAACCAAACGAAGAAAAACAATGACTAAGTAATATTTTAACTTTATCGCTTCTGTGGCAGCCAGGTTAACAAACTTAAACCGAAATTATAAAATGAACCAGAGGGTGGCCATTTGTATAACATTTATGTAACAGGAAAAAGAAAAAAAGTATCTCTCAGAAACTAACCTGGTTTATGTTTCCAGGGTAAGGAGAATATCCTGTTTCACAGTTAACATCACCATCTGGATGCCCTGTAGCCCTTAACAATGGATCTAGTTGATTGTATTCCACATTGATCACCATTGTCCTCCCTGACAAAAGGTTTAGATTCAAGAACTTTGTATAGATACTGTTAGCAAAATACAAAGTGCCGCAATCCTGCAAGCTTGTAATATATTTGAAAGAATATTGCTGTTAACATTAACTGCTCTTGGCATAATTGAATGAAAAAAAGTGGTTACACTAACTTCATACTGTTTAGTTGGCCGAATGTTTTACAGCCTGACTTCTCACACAGAATGACACGAAGTCTCTCTTCATCTTTTTCCTTATTTTTTTCCAATGACGGGAACAAATGCCGAAATTTTATACTATTCTCAATCAATCCTGAAATCAATGTGTACTAGAAACACTACTCAAGTTCGACTCTATCCTCCAAAGAAAATGTGATCAATTATGTATACACATACAAGAAAATTAGCAGATTATCACAATTTTCAAATGTCACGTTGTATAACATCAATTATCTGTTATCACAAAGAAATAAAAACAGAACAAGACAAGTTATTATAACCTACCATCTCGATGAGTGAGCCTGGTAATCCCACCAATAGCTTCCTTAGCTTTCCTAGGAACTGCAAGAGAATTAACATGATACTCTTTGATGACACTCACACCCAAGGCAGACGGAATTGCCTGTGATTTCAAACATAAGAAAGATTGGCAAACAAAAAGGTATTAATTCAATGAGAAAGTCAAAGAAATGCCAGAAGACGTGTTTCGATTGAACCTTGAACAGAAGACCATTAGTATCTTGGAAAAACAAAACCCACTTTCGTCCAACTGCCAGCCTATATGGAAGAACAAGATAAGTATTTATAAAAAATAAACTGATTAGTGAGTTGGAGAGAGAGAAAAGATTCCAACAAACACTACTCATTATTAAGGACATCAAATACAGGTGTGGAACTTACCATTCTTTAAGGAGGCCACTCGAATAAAGAAGTGAATGAACATCACCATGTCCATGAGGTTTTGTCTATTAGACCAGAAACAAATAAGAATAGTGTTACAAGAATAAGAATGATTTTTCTCATCTTTACCATTATACATCCAGATGTTATTTTTTAGAAAAAGAAACTGAAGTAAAAAGCTACCTGGATTCTGTACTTATTCTTTGGGTCCACTGCTAGCCTGGCATCATTATCATCTAAACAAGCAACTTTTTCCTGTAAAAGAAACAGGAATAATCCAATACACTTCAATACTGTTTGCTGGCATCAAACTGGGATACTACCAGTTATTTACCTGCTTTAGCAATTTTATCTGAGAAGGTTTCATCCCAAAATAAGCATTTGACTCCAAAAGCTGTATCGTACGATAATGAGTGTCATCTGATGTCATTATCGCCAAAGGAATCTCTGTTGGTCCTTCTCCTAAGTTTTTGGAAAGGACGGAAAAGAACATAAAATGTCTGAGCCGACAATTGTTAACATGCAAATGACAATCTAGAAATAATGAATTCGAGACATTTGCTAAAAGCTTTATAAATGAACCTGGAGCTAGCCTACAGCTCGTCTCTTGTAAGGCAAGAATAGATTCAATGTAGTGCTGTAAGAAACATGTTCCAGTAGTAGACTCTACTGGAAGCGCCACCTGCAACGGAAAAAATAGATGGTCAAAGAACTGAAGTTGATTTTTTCTTATGAACAGAGATACTTCTTTTATTCTAATGCAGATTGATATATAGTAGGTACAGGATTGGAAAACTGTGCATGACTTGTAGAAAAGCAAATAAAAATTGATGTACACTTAACTTCAGGTTAACCACAACATAACATCACAAAAGCAGGGTAGAGAGATTAACATCTATATCACTAGTGGAAGTGTTACCTTTATGCCGTTATAGCCAAGACGCTCTCCAAGCCCCCCAGCAACAAGGACAAATGCAGCCTTCCTTGCCTCACGGACCCCAGCATTTTCGTATTGGATAAAATTATCATCACCGAAGGTTAAGGTCTCCCCGGATGGAACCTATTCCACACACGATCAATACATAATTTAATTAAAGCGGCCAATTGTTCTACGAGAAACATGCAAGACAATACATAATTTAATTAAAGCGGCCAATCGTTCTACGAGAAACATGCAAGACCTGGGAAAATCTTTAAATGAAAATATAAAGGAGAAATGAATATGAAGGTATCAAGTGACACCTCTAGAATAATTGATAGATTTGTGGAGGCAGACTA